GGCTAATGCCGAACGTGAACCGGATAAAATTCCGTCACGTAATCGAACAACCTCAAACATCAATGTATATCGTTCACATGCGATGCCTGATTAATTCCACTGAACTCTCTAATGATCGAATGCGTTTGCAAGTCGAGCTGTAACTTAAGTTGTTGCTTCCCTCGTCTAGAAGTATTGATTGTCTGACAGAAGTATTGTCACTCCTCGTCTAGGAGTGTGTTCCACAGAATGCAACAATTGAAGTGATCATGCATGAATTCACCAAAGGATCATTGCATGTCACTCTGTCATCCCAATGCAGTCGTGCATAATCAGCCAATTGTGCGGATTCCGCGCTTTTCGCCTCATTCGGTGATCGTTTCTGAACACCAGTTGGACTCTGCCACGATGGCTTCGGTAGTGTTGATATCCTTAACAAACATATATGCTAGTGTTTGAAGAGAAGCAATTAGGAGGACTCTTTGACATGATCAGCCATTGCCCATGCACTCGTATACTCATATCCTATCCTCCTAATTTTCTTCCAAACAAATGCATTTCATATGTGGGAATGTTCATATGTTCATATGCCGGGATGAATTGACTGGGACGATAGACTGCGAGAACGGTCACTTACCTTGTGTTGAATAAACACCTCCTCCAGCAAAAAGTTGTTAAACTCAATGGATTGCATTCACTTGCGATCATAAAATGCTTATTCTTAATTAAAAGCTTCGGTAACATTCTTCTGAAAGCCACAATCTCAACTGAATGTCAACCTGCAAAGGAAAAATGACATTAGAGGAAAATGTGATGTGCGATGCAATAAAGCTACACAACATTCATTCACAATGAACCAATTCAATTACGGTGCGGAGGAAGTCCGCTCCAGCGATCCGCAAGTGCTGAGCAGCCAAAGGCATGCAACAAACACAACAATATTGTTATATATCTCCGCAATTCAGCATCGGCAATTTCATCAGAGATGCTGTCTGGAGAACTTTCTGCGCAGCATTGCTTCAACAAGTAGTTACTGAACTCCTAAAGTAGCAAACCGTCGTCTGAATTAACTAACCAATAAGCCGCTCCACAACGGTCCAATACTCAAAATGATCAATCAATCAGTTGGTTTGATCATTGCGGTAATACTATCTTACTATTCAAACGTCTTCAAAATTATCATGGTATGCACTCGAACGTAAAATTATCAATGCAAAACCAAAAAGAATCACTTCTTTTGTGTTCCTCACACAAATGGAGTCGTCCCATACTCTATCTTCGACCATTCAAGTCCGTGTGAGGAACGTAGAAATTTGCATCAAAATGGATTTATGCAAATTCTGGATATGGTGTGTCTGCTCAGAATGACAAAATCTCTCGACAAAATATATATTTTTCTGAATGAGGAGATCCAGTTGGATCGACCTATGCAAAAAAATTCATATGTTAATGGGCAAACTTGAGCTTACGGTAGC